TGCTTGGTAGCACTATGAAGGAAGATAAAGCAGGATAATAGGTTACATACATATGGATACTTATTTTGAAAAAAAAAAACCTCTCAGGAGTGGAGATATAAGTGGAAAAGCTACTCTCTGTAAGAGGATATAGGAACAGAAATCTGGATGAAGGGAACAAGTGAGCCTGCCATGCAAGTATCTGGAGAAATGGTATTTCTGGGTGAGGCAATAGCAAGTACAAATGCCCTGAGAAAACAGTGTGTTCAGAATATTTAAGGGATAGCAAGGGGACTACTGTGGCTAGGGCGAAGTAGAAAACTAGCAGAATGGTAGGAAATGATGACACAGAGAAAACTAGAGACGAGGTCAAATAGTGACTTTTAAGCAATAGGAAGAACTGAGGAATTTATTCTTACTGTGATGGGAAATCTCAGGAGGGTTTTGACCAGAGAAGTAACATCATCTGATTTGCCACTTACAAGTGTCATTCCTGCTACTGCGTGGAGAATAAACTGAGAAATGCAAGGCAATAAGCCATGAGGAAAGCTGGGAGGCTGTAGAAGGTGCCCATGTTAGATATGATGATGTCATGTGGGCTGGTGATGCAGGTGGTGAGAAGAGTGAAAATGAGAACATACACCCAAGGTAGCACTGATGACCTTAGCTCTGAGTAGTGTTCACAGAAGGATTTGATATGAGATCTGAGAAACAGAAGGATGAAATGTGATTATAACATTTTAATCCTGAGCAACTAGGTAAGTGGTAGTGCCATTCCATAAGGAACATCAGAAGGCAAAACACTTGAGGGCAGAAAATAAGAGGAATCAAGAGAGAATGTTTAGAGATATTGAGTTGAGGTTCCCAAACACATCCAGTTAGAGTTTAGTGTGTTTTGTATTGAGTCAATTGAGCTAATCTTGGAATTTTATGTTTACCCAAATTCTCTTCTCTAAATAGTTCTAGACGGGTAATAAAGACATTTCTCACAAAATTTGGAAGACAAAAGTAAAGTAGCAGCCATATTCTTTTTATTCTCACAAGGATAAAGCAGGGATAAGGTACTCTGGCAGTACACACATATGGTCACTTTGCTGACTCACCTTGCTGGCATGAGGCAGCAGAAAATTCTCAGAAACTTAAGGCGTATAACAAAGAAAATGAGTATCTAGCACTATATATATATATATATATATGTATATATAGTACTGCTTGCAATTATAATGGTAGATGGATAATGAGAATTAAGCATATTATTAAATAACATGACAAGGGATTTAAGTGATAATTAAAGAGAAATCCTTCACCAGGAAGGATAACAAATACCTTTACACAAATTTCCTATTGGTCCCGGAGCCTGGCAGGTGCTGGCAGTGCTTTTAAGAGGCTACAGAGTAAGATCTGCTGCGGTTTTGCTGGTCTGTTAAAAATAGCCTTAGGCCAGACACATGTCATCCATCAGAATTAAGTGGATCACTCAGCTTCCTGTACCCTGTCTTCTGTTACTCCATGTACTTTCCCAGATTCTGATGGGTCCTTGGCCCTTGCTTCTAGGTGTAACAGTGATCTCTGCCTAGGGAAAAGATAATGATCCCTGAAACAATGTATGCAAGCCATGCATATATTTATCATCTCAGGATTGAGCTTCCATTACTAATAATAGCTGTCGTGTTTTGAGCCCTCACTCTGTGCCAAGCTCTTGCAAAACACATTCCAGATTTTATCTCATTTAATCCTGGCAACAGTGGTATAAGACAAATTCTAGTATTATTCTCATTTTGTATTTAAGTAAATTTAGTTGTAAAGAAATTTAGTAAATTGCTCAAGGTCTCACAGTAAATGGCAGAACAATAAGGACTCAACCAGGTGCCACCTGCCTCTAATGACTGACCTCATTTATTATATTAAGTTGCTCTCCTTGGCTTAGGTAAAGCTGGGGACAGCTTTCTTGAAGAGATTTCTGGGAGTATATGCCTGTTTGCTTTGCAGTTGAACTTTGATGTAGCCCCTAGAATCTTGAAATCTTGAAGGAGGGAGCAGAACCTGCAATAACTCTAGTGATGTTTCAAAGTGAGTTTCTGTTTTGAAATAAACAGCCATATTTTTAAGATAGATTATTTTATTCCAGAAAAAATATCACTTGACTGAATCATTTAACTTTGTAAATAAAAAAGCAAACTCCATATCAGAAAAGTTATTTCAGACTCTTAATTAAAAGCAGTAAATATGTTCTGTTTAATAATGAAAAATATGGTCACTGTAGTACATCTCTGAAGACTGACATTTTCTGTATTTTTTTGTTAATAGGATGAGACTTGACTGTTCTAGAAAACAACAGCTTGTCCTGTGGAGAATTCTGAGTACATGCAGATGGAAAATTAGAGGCTGAATACCAAAAGACAAAGGAGCTGTTTTCCTGAGAGTCCATCTGGGACCCTAAGTACAAGCAGTGGTGAGCTAGTTAGCAAAGGTGAAGTATGGAGCTGGAGGAGCAATAACTGGATCCAAAAGGCAAGATGTACAGTCTATCGGGAAGATTAGCCATCATAAGCATGTAGGTACTGAAAAACATAGCTACAAATTATATAAAGCTAAACTATTAGAAATAGATTTTCACAAATTAATAGATTAAATTTTTTCCAGTAAACAAAGAACATCAGAAGTTTTTCCTAAGTACTTATATTAGTTAAAAAAATCAATAAAATGCAAGAAAGATTTGTATATTTTACAATAATGGAAGACAATAGAATAAAATTAGAAATTAAAAACAAAAATAACCAAAATGAATTAATGTTTTGAAAATAAAAATAAATACTTTTCTCAATTATTTGTGTTAAAGAGGAAATCAAAACCGAAATTATAGATTATAGAATCTCACTAAATACCATATCACATAAAAATCATAGTCAAAAGAAAATGTATAGCATTAAATGCTTTTTTAAAAAAAGCATGATAACAAGTGAAATTTGCATTCACCTCAAGAATCTAGCAAAACAACAAAATGAATGAAAAAAATGAAGAACCAAAGCTGACACAATTTGTGGTCATTGTGTTAAATAAAACTGGATCTAAGCATATTTTCGTGTCCCTCAATAGAACAATACAGAGAGCTAGAAAAAATAAGTCAGTTACTTGCTCTAGGAAATGCTTGCTCTTCAAAGATAAGACTGTGAACCAGCTAAAATAGCTTTTTAATCAAGACTAATAGCTTAACAATACTCATTTCAAGACACTCATTTCATGGTGCCCATCAATCCAAAACTATTATTTTTTAAGTCCTACCAAATCCCAGCCAGTTTCCCTCCTGGAAAGACTCACTTTAAAATCGTCCGGCTCAGGAGCTAAAACCTGATAACCCCCCCACCCCTGCCCCGGCTCTCCCTGTCTAAGTCACCACACCTGTACTCTACTGAAGTGCTATTCTTCCTTACTGCATAAGATCCCATAAACTCAGCTTTGCTTGATTGATGATATTTCTGGAGGAATTTTAAGAAGTTAACAAAGAAAGAAAAAAAGTAAATATAAAAGTTATTTAAATAAGGGAGAAGTGACAAATATTTTTCATAGAATTCCAAATAATACATGGAGATACTCACCCCTCAGGAAGTGGAGCGTAATTCTTA